GTAAAAGACGTACAGTCAGAAGTGAAGGTCCGCTGTGACTGTCCGCCGTCCATCATCGGCGGATAAAAAGAATTTCACAAAGAGGTAAAAGTGGTTCCAGCCTCCATCGGTTAACCACAGACAAGATGCAGAGCGAAGTTTGGATCAGCACATCCGTAACCACCTTCATTGGCACTAGAGATTGGTCGTAATATGTGATATTTGAGTCCGCCGTCGCCAGTTTATGAGACAACCTTAAATTTAACTCCTCCGTTGCGCCACAAAATTAACTTTAAAAAGTTGCAGAAAATCGACAGAATCCACTGTGGCCTGACTGTCCCGAAATTGTTACACGGTGAGAAATATTCGAGGATGGGACAGATCCCATGCTCACTTTTCCACCGGCAGCCGGGAATGAAGATGGAAAGGCGCAGCGCTCTGCTCAGATGCGTCAGCTGTGCGCCACCCCTCCCTTCGTCCTGCCCCGACCACAAAAATTACACACAGCTGACTTTACATCTACTGACAGCAGGGAGGTGCATTTGAGGTGCAACTGAAAGCAATTTTTTGTCTGATGGTTGCAGGTTGCTAACAAAATTCTTGTTTTAAAACATTATAAAGGCGTTTTCTAGAAGCCATTCGGTCTGGGGAAGGATGCATTGAAATTACAGACTTTATTACTGCTTAAAATGAGAAATGATATAAAAATACAATTTCTCTAAAACTAAAAAGCAGATAATTCTGAGAAACACTTTCAAAATTGAAGATAAAGTAACTACAGTAAACGTAATCAAACTGAAGCACACACTGTGACACCCAAGAAGAAAATCAAAAGTTCAGTGTCTGTTTGTTTACTTTTGTTTTGTTTTTTTTCCACTTTTGTAGTTTTTGGTCCTTTTGGACTTTTTATACCTCCCTATCACCAGAATCAGAGAATGCAGAGAATCTGTTGTTTCTTAATCCATCCATACATTAAAGCTTTGTATAGGAAATATTACATTCTCGTGTCTCTATCGGTAGGTTATATTGCCTAAGTTGAAGAAAATGCATTAAAAAGATCTCATGAAGACTACAAACCATACGGAAATATTTCTAAATCTTTAAGAAATCCCATGGTCAAAAAATATTTGTAGGGGAAATATTTCCCAACACAGTTGCTCTCACAAGTGTTTCCCCCCTTTTTTAAATACTAGGTTTTTTGATGTAAAAAATTAGACATTCACCTTCAGTGTGAAATATATCCTATTATATATATATCCTGTGATTTTAACAGGACTGTCCATTTTTAACAGCCACTGTATGGTGAAATTTTTTTTCTTTATCAAGGCCATGTCAAGATAAATTACGTGCTGCTTAGAGACCTGCTCCAAACATCTCCACTTCTGTCTGTAGTTCCACAAACAACCAGCAAATGTTGAAATAAATGAAAATGATCTTTCTCGTACCCATCACTCAGACTGGATATAGAAAGGTGAAGGTTGTCTCTGATAAAAATAAATCTCTGTGGAAAAATGCTCCACAATGACAAAAGGGAGTGTTGAAAAGCCGAATGGAGGTGGCGAAAGAGTGGACTCCAGCATCACTGTGACATCTATAAAGAGATACTATACAGATATAACTTACAGATGAAGAATGCAAGGTAATCCTTCTTCTAAAATCATCAACAAAATCATAATGCTCATGCCTTGTTTGTCACGGTCGACAGGTGAACAAATCCTTCTGTGTCTGTAGTATATATAGTAGTATATATAAGTATAGTCTGTACATCAATACCAAGTCCAGTACCAATGTTGTGTCCAACCAAAACAAATTTGGACAAAATGACTCAATTCTACCAAAGCAACTACAAAAGCTTATATGAAATTATACATCAACTAAACTCCCCCTCCTGCTGTCTGGATATTTTACCCACAGCTTTAAGAAATGTTTGCCTGTTAAAGCGTCTGATTTGATTCAAATAATAAACTTATCCATGTTGTCAGGTGTTTTTCCCCAGGCCTTAAAAACACCAATTATCAAACCACTGTTCTCGTGGTTTAATCTGGACAAGTTGTTACGGCAAAATCACAGGCCCATCTCAAATCTCCTGTTTATCAGTAGCCTAAGGTAAATGAAAAAGCTGTGTTTCATCAGTTAAATACCGTCGTTAACAATGACCAGCTGCTTTGATGTCTTCCAGTGAGGTTTCCATGCTTACCACAGTATCGAGACTGCCCTAGCAGGTGTTCAATGACATTTGCATTAAATGCGGACCGTGGAAGAACAGTTCTGGTATTATTGGATCTCAGTGCAGCATTCAACATTGTTGACCATGGTATGTTACTGGACTGACTGGAGAACTGGGTCAGACTTTCTGGTGCAGCAACTGTCTGTTTTGAGTCTTACTTGAAGGACAAGGACTTCTTTGTGTCAATAGGTTACTTTGCTTTAAAGTCCCTAAAGTTCCATCTTGGGGCCCTTCCTATTCAATATCAATATGTTCCACCTAGCTCAGATTATAACAAACAACAACATAAGTTATCATAACTACACAGATGACACACAGCTCTGCATTTCAGTGTCACCAGGTCATTATGAACCCGTTCAAGCATTAGGTAGATGCATAGAACAAATCAATGCATGGATGTGCTATAATTTTTTTCAGCTGAATAAAACTAAAACTAAAGAAATTATTTATGGATTAAAGGAGCAGTGATCCAGAGTCAATTTCAATTATTACAGATCGAAACTACTGATCAGGCCTGAAATCTGGGTGTAGTGATGGACTCAGACCCGAACCTTCAGAAGCACATAAGGACAATTACTAAATTGGCCTTCTATCACACGAAAAATAATTCCAGAATTAAAGGACTAATGTCCCAACAGATTTATACAAATCCCAAACTATACAAATAAACTTGCCTTGGCTTGAATAATATAAATAAAAGCTAGTATTTTACCTGTTTTATACATATCTAGGGTTTTGTTGGTGCTCTTGATTTTTTACAGACTGTTCCTATTTGCTTTGTTTTTTTCTAAAAAAAAAATTGTTTTGTGGAATCTGTGTGTAGTTTTGTACATTTGAGTCTAAATGTAGATAATTTCAGAAAGGTGCAATCATTTATACATTTAAGTCCTAGAATATACAGGAGTGTGATTTATTTTTACCATGCAATTCCACTGGAGTTGATTTCTCCCAACCATCTATCACGTGCCTTAAAAACCTACAATTTATACCGCTGAATCCATATTAAAATTTGTCTTTGCTTTCATGGCTTTCATTCTGAAAGTATTTATGTGTGTCCATGTGCTATCAACCTTTCTTTACAAACTAAGCTAAAACTCCAAAATATATTTACCTACAAAGAATGGATCCTTGTACCAAACCTAAGAATTTCCTGGCCCTTCCTCAGAGAAACTTTGCAAATGTGCAGAGTTACGGAAAAAAAAACTTTAGCCTTTAATTTAAGTATAAATCCAGACCTAAATAAGTTAAATAGACAATTCTAAAAATAAATGCAGTATCATAATTGTTCTTTGGCCAACTATATCTCTGCCTCATCGGTCATATTGTTCAGTTTTCCCAATGTTTGGTCTGATGCCTAGTATAGGCCCTCTGTGTTAGAAAATGATTAATAAGTCAATGAAGATGCCTCCCTGTCATGTGCTGCAGGGAGGGAGGAGTAAAATATCCTCCCCTCAGTTCCAAGCACTTTAACCTCTCCTGTAATGCCACTGGAGTGCATGTTTGTAGTTCAGCTCATATCAACAGTCCCAGCCCAGAGATGAGTTTGTCTGGAAACATCTGACCCCCCTCAAGGACATTTTCAACGTGTGTTCCTGAGACTTCAGTGAGTCAAGTGAGTAAGTAAATGCAGGAGGTAGAGATAGATACAGAGAAGTGATATGAGGTTCCTGTTGTGTGCAGACGAAGTGTGAGAGATCATTTTAATCAGTGCAAATCCAGGGGTGTTAGTCGGGAATGTAAGCAAAGGTCAATAACAACAGCAACCTAAAAATACCTCAGTTCAGACAGCCATTGTAATAAAGGTGATCTAGGAGCTCAGATGTATTTATGAAATCATTTATTCTTCTCTAAAACAAAGGTCCGTCTTGCACTGTGTGCAGCGTGGATTTAGGTACTGATGGAATCTGTCATCAAACATGTTCTCTTTCAGTTGCTCAGCTGTTTGTCCATCTTTAGTGAGTCAGATCTGAATCTGGAGCCAAAGAAAGATCCTCATTACATGTGACCCTTGCTTTCTTTAACCTGGGACGAGCTATGGATTTTACAGTGACAACTCTATAACAAATTGCTTTACAGGGAGCAGGTGATGGTGGCCATGCCACTCATCATTCAGCCCTCCCTCTCCTTGTGTCTCGCTTTGAGCCAGCTCCAGCTGTGGTCTTTAAGGGGCCATGTATAGGGTCCTTGATCCTTTTCGGGGTCCATTAAATGCCCGGGGGTAATTTTGTATTTTGACAAAATACAGGAAAGTGATTAGGGCTCTATAATCACAAATAGTGATCATATCTTACAAGTGAAGAAAAGCGACAGCAGCAAGTTCACAGAGAAGTCGTTTATAGCATATTTTGTGCTTTCTTGAGACAAGTCTTTAAAAAGAAGGCTGTAACTTAAAGGTTTAACTCCTGACAGGTAATGTGCTCCCTCCATGACCTCAGTTTCACAATCTCATTTACACAACATGACACTGCAGAGATGTTGTCGGTCTGACGTTGTAGAACAAGACAGCACTCAGAAAATCTGCACAAAACAAATACGTCAGTCAGTCATTTTCTATACCACTTCTTCCATAGTGGGTCATGGGGAAGCTGGTACCTATCTCCAGTATGGACAGAAGGCAGGGTACACCCTGGACAAGTCACCAGTCCATCACAGGGCAACACACAAACAGGCACGCACACACCTAAGGGCAATTTAGAGAGACCAGTTAACCTAACAGGCATGTCTTTGGACTGTGGGAGGAAGCCGGAGTACCTGGTGAGAACCCACGCATGCATGGGGAGAACATGCAAACTCCATGCCGAAAGACGCCTGGCCGGGAGTCGAACCCAGGAACCTTCTTGCTGCAAGGCAACAGTGCTACCAACTGCACCACTATGCAGCCCTAAAAAAATATGTCTTCAGCAATCTTTTTCAAGTTCAACATACCTGCAGTAATGTATGTTTCTAGTAGTTTTTCATATTTGTAGACCTAAATTTTTGTCTTTCTCTTTTGCAGCTTGTAACTGGATTTCTTCCAGGACTGTATTGTATTTAGCTCCATCCATCTTCCCAATAACTGCAGCTTTCCTGTCCCTTTCCTGTCCCCACGGATTGATGCTGCCACTACCACCATGTTTTCTGGTGCCAATGGTGTGTACAGGGTGGGGTTCAGTGTTAGTTGTTTTCGCCACACACAGCAAATGACATGTAAAACAAAAAGTTCAATGCCAAATGTCTCATTTGACCAGACCAATTTCTTCCACACATTTCCTTACATGACTTGTGGCAAACTACAGATTGAACTTCCAAGTGCTTTCTTTCAAAGGTTGTTTTCTTTTTGCCCCTTCTTTGAAGGAAAGATTTGTGAAGTGCATAACTAATAAGTTGTCCTGTCAGGAGATTCTCCCACTTGAGCCGATGATCTCTGCAGCTCCTCCATAGTCATCCTGGACCTCTTGGCTACTTCTCTGATTCTCTTTTAGCGTGGCCTGTCAGTTTAGATGGAAGGTTTGCATTGTGCCATACTCTTTCCTTTTTTGGATGATGCATTGAGCAGCGCTCCATGAGATGTCCAAAGCTTAGGATATTGTTTTATAATTGAACCCTGCTTTAAAGTTTAATTTCTGGCTTGTCTGCAGTTTGTTCACTCAGGTTCTTTAAGATTGCATGCAGGTGGACTATATTTAATAACTGTAGGACTTTTGAAGGCAATTAGTTGCACTGGATATTACTTAGGAGTATCAGAGTAAAATGGGCTGACTACTTATGTGCACATTTTTCAGATTCTGGTTTGTGAAACATTTTGTTTATCATCTTCATCATTTTTTTTTTTTTTACAATTCTATTCTATTCTGTCATATAAAATCTTAATAAAATATATTTGGGGTGTTTATGTGAGAAAATGTGAAAAAGTTTCTTAAAATTTCCCTTGCATTACTACAAGGTGTGTTATTAAAAGCATGTCTCTTACAATCCTACCGAGAGGAGATCCCACCACCTTTTCTGCCTGCAAGAGAGAAAACAACTCAAATTCTGATTCTAGGCTGTTCAAGCTAATCACATTTTACCGACGTTTAATTTATTCTTTCTTGTTTTCTTGTGGTTTCCAAAGGGAAATCGCTCTTGGGTAATACTTGTCTCCAGTAATTCAGTCTTCTAAATAAAGGCATTTTATTTTGCACCAATATTGCACCCTAAGAACTATTTAGTCAATATCCACTTGTTGTACACAATTACACTTCATGTCAATAACAAAGGTTGCGGAAATGTTCAAAGAGCAGTTCATCAGTGTGAACTTGTGTTTACAGAGGCCTGAGAAGCTGAGAAGATGAGGCTCTGCAGAACAACTAGGCGTGCCTGTTCTTGGTTTGGGATGCAGCTTTGCTGTCCTACACTGGAATGTTAATTAGATGAACTGAATGAAAGAGAGGTGACCCGTTCCGTTAACCAGCTAACCCTTTTCCGCAAGAGCCAGGAGGGGGATTCAGCTTGTTGAAAAACCCAAGTCAGCAAGTGTCTGTCTGTGTGTGTGTGTGTGTGTGTGTGTGTGTGTGTGTGTGAAGGAGACATGGAAACAATATGTGCTCTGACATTGCTGACTAATCCTCTCTTAATTTTTCTTTCTTAAGTAGCATCACATTTAACAGCGTACCACACAAGCACTGTTTACTGATTGAAGCAACACTCAGCATAAAAAATAACATTTTAGTCCACTTGTAAGATTTCACAACTTTTCATCGCAAACAAAAGGCTGCCTTTGATTTCAGCACACATTTCCATCAGGAAAAATTTCTTCTTTAAAGACAAGTGCAGAAGACTGTCGCCATGCAAAACAAAACAAAAATAAATAAATAAATAAAAACAAAAACAATACATTGAACTCAAATATTACTATTCAGGTAGTTACGTGTGTGAATATAACTGGACCAAGATAAACAATTCAGTAGACAAACAGAATTGTTTGTCACAGAATTTAGATGTAAATATGTAAAATATAAGTGAAATGTAAACGTAAGAAAACTAAAGGAATAATGCAGCACTATGGTAGAAAATATAAAAAAAAAAAAGCCATCCCGACAAAAATATATGAAACACTGACCTCTGGCGAACTTTATGGGGAAGTACAACGGGGAAGTTTGCAACTATTGCTATTGGTTATGAAAGAGATAGCTGTTTATAATCATTTTCATCAACAGGTAATTAAAACGTTTACTTATTCCAATTTACCAGTGGAAATTAACTAAATATTAAAATTGTTTATTATTTTAATTGCCTACTTTGCTGTGTTCAAGGTTTCCTGGTTTCCAGTTTCAGGGTCTATCCCAGCTGTCATAGGGACGGACCTGCAGGCTTTTGGACCAATCTTCAGTCCATCACAGCTAATGTAATTCAAGCAACCTTGCTCACACCCTTGCCTACAATCAAATCAGTGTCCAACTTAACATAACCTAATATTTATGCAAGTGAATATTAGGTAAAAGGTTAGGGAAAGCCTATAAAAAGGATTTAAAGTACATACAAGCTCCACACAAAAGGGGCCATCACACTCGAGTCCGGATAATGAAAGGATTGAGTTTAACACATCAGACTTTGATTATGTGTTAAGAAATATATACAAACCCTGTGAGGGTGGTCAGAACCACCTTGAACCTAACCCACTGTGACTGTGTCTGCTGTGGACCACATCCGGTTCCAGGAACCACCATTTCTCGAGACCTGAGATGGTATTCACACTGTACTTCCTGAGGCAACTCAAGAAGTACAAACTTCCACAGGAGCTGCTGGTCATTTTCTACACTGCCATAATTCAGTCTGTCCTGTCCTCGTCCATCACTGTGCGGTTTGGGTCATCCACAAAACAGGACAGGTCCAGACTGCAACGAACTATCAGGTCTGCAGAGAGAATCATCATGGCTGACCTTTCCTCATCCAGGACTTATTCAGGTCAGGAGAAAAGGGCAGCTAACACCTCTGCAGACCCCACACACCCTCAATATAAAGCTGTTTAGACTTTTACCTTCAGGTCGGCGCTACAGAGCACTATAGCTACAACCAGCCGCCACTGAGACAGTTTCCTCCCCCAGGCTGTTTCTCTGATGAACATTTGACAGAGTTGACAACAACCCCATGCATACTTGGTCTGAACTCACACTGTCTTCTCTTGTAGTCGCCTGTGTATATATGTACATTTAAAAGATATTTAATAATTTTCTTTTTCATTTATATTGGAAAAATACAAGATAAAAAAGCTTCACTGAGAGCAAAGTGTACCGGAGCGAAATTCCTTGTTGGTGTGTACAAACTTGGCTGATTCTAAATAATAACACAGAGCCTTTATCTTTTGGAGTAATTTATTAAATATGCCACTTTTTAGCCAGCAAATCATCACAAAGCGTGCGATGAAGGCAGAAATAACCAACATGACAGAAGAAACTAAACCCTGAAACTACTAATAGCAAAGGTTGATAGTTATGTAATGCAGAATTCCTACAATGACAAAGGAACTTGAAAAATCTCCTCTAGCAGTAACTGCATGTAATCAGTCTCTTTGATAATCATTATTATGTAACATAAAAAAACAGAGTATCAAGAAATTACAGCAATTTAGATGACATGAGTGATTATTAGACACATTAGACACACAACATTTACAACAGTTAAAATTAAGACTGTACAATGAAATACGACTTCTGTAGAATTTGTAAAATTCAGTGATGATTTTTTTTATTTTAACCATTAACACATTTGTTAATAATTAGTCCCAGGACTCATGTCCTGGGACTGAATGACAGCTCATCAGTCTGTATTTTATTTTTGGTCACCACAAAAAAAGATTGGAAAACCTTTTTAAAGTAATTAGTTCTCTTTTGCCACCTAATATAGCACCTCTTTTATTATTTAAAACACATCTGATAAATACACATAATATTTTTTCAGGGGATTTTTGTTAAAGAAATGCTATAAATCCTGACATGTACAAGTCTCAGTTATAATCATTAGATGATCCTGCAATGAAAGAAGTATCTGAAGGCTGAATAATGTGTTAATTTAATGAAACAACTATGTCTAGTTCTTTGACGCCATCCTGGGTGGAGCTGAGGCCACAGCTACCCGACAAGGGGCTCTCTGAGAAATGGCTGCCAGATTTCGGTACTCCAGCTGGAGATAGAGGAGCCTGGGTCAGACCGGGTTTCTTAGGAGGGATAGGGGGAGGGTTTCCCCTTTCCACACTAGAGATGGTTGGTGATCGGAGCCCCTGGGGAACTGCCCCTGTGGCCCTCCCAGTGACAGGAGACAGGGGTGCTGCAAGGCTGCGGTAGTCTGTACCAAACGGGGAGTTATTTGGTGTGCCAGATTTCATTGTGGTGCTCTGCTGGACAGAGGTGAAACGAGACAGGACCTGAGTGACTGTGCTTCGGGCCATCTGCTTGACTGGGCTGGCTTCAGGAGAGGAGCTGCTGGTCACAGGAGAGAGCTCTTTTGATGAGAGCAAGGGGACAGGTTGAGCAGGCTGGGTCTGTGAATCCGGCTCAATGGAACCCTGGAACTTGTGCCGTGCTGCATGGAATCGCTGATTTATCCCAGTCTGGTACGGAGACTGATAGCTTCCCTGGCTCATGCTGCCTGTGGTGCATTTGACAAGGACAGGTGAAGTGCAGGGAGAGGAACGTGTCTGAGCAGGAAATGCTGCATTGCAGTGGGAAAAAGGTGTTTGTGTCTGATGAGAAGGATTCTCATTTCCATTCTGACAGGACATCTTCTCTGAGTATATGTTTGATGTATAAAGCCCATTAGTCTCCCCTGGACAATGAGGACTGGGCTTTGGCTGTTCAGACAGGTGGTCCTCCTCAATGTCTTCAACCTTAATGGTGTCCATTGATAAGCTCCCTGCAGGAACCT